TACATGGTTACCCACTCATTTTAAGTCTGATGTTTGTGGACTGCTCCATTCATTTAACCTCAGCAGGGACAAAAACATGAATTAATAGATGGCACATGTTGACAACACTTGATGAAAATAATAAGCTTGTCCTCTTACCCATTGTCAAAAAAAATCAAAGGCCTTGTTTAAGTAAACTTTGATTGAGGAGAGGGAGGAGGATGTCCTTGGAGGTCTTGAAGGTGACTCTTCTGATTAAAGGGTGTCATGACAACCGAGGCTTGTTGCTGTCAGGACTAAATTGGGTGACGCACAAGCTGACAAAACAGTGGTAATTAGGATGCAGTGGAGGAGAAGGGAGGGCAAGGGTGCAAAGATGGAGGGTTGTTCCTGCTCTCATCAGCTCTACTCTTTGTCCTGTTGGAGGCGTGACTTAACTATAACAATTTTCCATCTGCTTCCATCAACTAAACAACTAATTAATATATTTCGTAGCCAGGTTGCTATGAAACATGTTGGATATTTGTGGTCCCCAGAGGATGACTCAGTCAGCACTGCCATTAGAAATCTTTTTTTTCCATGAAAACTTCCATTACATTTGATATGGATATTAATGGTCACCAGAGGATAAAAGTTATTGTTTGTGAAATTCATATCAAGTATAGATCCACCATGATGCCACCCATTGGGTGTTGGCTTACTGTTTTGAAGCCTCGGGTTTGGCTTTATGGACTTGGATCATGTGACCATATTTGGATTAGAGTTATTTTGATACTGATAGCAGTGTCGCAAATTTCTTCCATACTGCCTAAAATGTATGCACCGATCCGATACCACATGATTTATTACCCCCAAATGGGACCCTGCTACCTCCCAGCAGTGTCACATTCGCTTTTTTTCCCCCCAGGATTGGAACATTTCTAATTTGGATGACAGTGTGGAGCTAGTAGGTAACATACAGAGAATTGGACTGCGAGTTGGTTCATATCTTGTATTACAGTACACTAAAATATGTTTATGAAAATATTTTAAGTGAGAAATAGTCAACACAGTAAGAGAATGTTGCTTCATATTTGATCAGCACTGCCAAGTTTGACAGTTTGATCTGAGTTTGGTGCGTTGAGCTGGACAGACTCACTGAGAATGACCTGTCAATCACAAGGTAAATGGGACCATCATTTACTAAATGAACATCATGCTGTATTGAAGAAGACTAAAACTAGAGACTGAGACCATAATCTCATAGAAAACTGTTTACTGAGCTCATAAATCAAGTGAGAAGTAGGGTAATTTTCTCATAAGGTTTAGATTTCTTTTTGAAACCAATGGAGTTGCCCCCTGCTGGCGACTAGAAAGATTTCAATTCAATTCATTCAATTTTATTTGTATATGCGCCAATCATAAAAGAAGTTTATCTCAGGACATTTTCAAATAGAGGCAGTCTGAGACCGAACTCCTTTTAACATTTGAAGAGACCCAACAATTCCCAATTTACTGGACAGATTTCTACTCACTAATCTTTTAATGCTAATGACCACATGACCTTTTCTCTAGTGCCACCCTCAGGGCGAAGTTTACATCTAAAGCTCCTCCTCTGAAAAGATTCCTGTGATGTATAACACCTGATCACGTTGTTATTTATCTGTTTTTCCGCCTCTGTATTTGTGACCCTTTCATCTTCTGCTTATACAATCAGTCCACGTCTACAGAATTAGCACCCACAATGCACCTGGACAGGGCTGCTGGTGACTATTGTTACTGTGGCGACAGATACAATAGGAGGCTAATTATAAACAGAATGGATGGATGGTCAGAAGTGTGGGAGGATAGGCGAACATGTGTGAGTTTCTATAGAAGTGTGTGTGTATTTGTACCTTGTGGGGAATTGTATTCTCACAGTGCAGTCTGGCCTCTGTGATTACACCCTGATTGAGGTTAATAGCTATCATTTGTGTGTTTGTGTGTGCATGTGTGGAAACAACATAATCAATGACATCTCTTTCTCAGTCGCTCTTTCCTTTTGTCTTGTTGTATATTCTCTACAACTTTTGTTTCCAGATAGAAAGAGTAAAACAATTTCCATCTCTGGTTTCTTTTTCCATTTTCCCCCCGTCTTTGATTTTAAGCTTTGATTTTAAGCTCTCCTCAGTACTTTGATGTGTATCAAAGTGCAGTCTACTTTGATTTTTTAATTTATTTATGGACTGACAAATCGCTTTTCATCCTCCATAAATCCAGAGTGTGAAACATGTTCTCTCTAGCAAAATGACAAATACAGTACAGCTAAAATGACAGCCAGCAATTACTATCATAATGTGATAGTGACTGTGATCTTCTAAAAAAGATCATGGTAAATGGGGACATTCAAAAAATTAGGGTGTCTTTAAAGCCTTTTTGACAATGCTATGCTTCACCCAATGTCTTAACCAAAACAACCCCCAAGTAAGTTCATAAGGCATTAATTGTCCACTCAAATGTTCACACAATTAATTCAACTTGAAAGTCATGTTCATATGGTCCAACAAAAAATGTCCAAAAAATGTATATACATCCTTCTTTCAAAATGCAAAAGTATAAATCAGGAACAGCAATGCATTGCAAACTCACCAGATGTCTAACTGGGAATTTCTGATCTGGCCTTAATTTGATTTCCAGCTGTGTTCATATCCTCTAGACTACATTCAGCTTTGATTGATTATGACCTTTAAACCAAATAAATTGTAAACATTTAATGAACAGTCTTCATTTTATTATTAAGATTCTGATTAATATTCTCATCTAGCTCATGTTCTCATGTGAGCTCCATATACTGTATTTATTCCCTATTTGAGAGCTACTGTAGCTCAAAAAGCTCACATAGCTCAGGTGGGTAACTCAGCTCTGCATTTATATCCAGATAGATTTATTTAGAATGTTTATTTAAATTAGTATTGCAATTAAATACATCAATCAACGCAGAGATAAATCTTTCTGTTAAGATGACCACTGTTGTTACATTTAAACGCAACTGTTAAAAGTTCTCGATCAATTTCTTTTCCAGAAATGAGGATTACACCCTTCCTCCATAGGAAACAATTAAAAATGTGTTTGTTAAGCTGTAAACTAAACTAAATTATGTGTACTGTGATGAAACACATCAATGCTGCTCAGTGGGATTTGAAGATGTGCAGATCACGCAGCCAAACTGTGTTGCAGACACAACATTTTAAAACCATACCTGTTGAAATTTCTAGGTATTTTTATATTTTTGTGCAAGGGTTCGGACTTTTGCTTAAGACGGTTGTAGAAGCCCCACTGGACTACAGTCTTTAGCTAAAAGTCTCCCCACAGACACACACATACTGAAGAGTTAGCCTGTCTGAGCTGTTAGCTTAGCTACAACATAGCTGCTAGCAGGGGCGGACTGGGGGACGCCAATTAAATTCAGGCCGGGAATTTGATATCATACCCAGACCACAACCCACCCGATTACCACGCAACAACACCAAGGTGGGAGTCCTACATAATGGCGCCTATAGATGTCAAGAGGGTAAAATAAAATAAAAGGGCGAACAAGAGCCACATGCGCCCACACCACAGCTTGTTTCTGTATATCATTTCCCCTACAAAAATAAATTTAATTCTGTTGTTGCTGCAAAAATAACCTGTTACTCAAATCTGAAATAATCATTAATGCAACCACTTTATAAATATATCTGTCTAATGTAACAGCGTACAACTAGTTATAAATTTAGACCACTGGTGCAACACACCATAGCGATCATACCACAAGTGAGAGGTACCCTCAGGGTGGCAGCACTGCAGGAGTCGCTAAAAGATTTATTCCTACTTGCTAACAACTTTAAAACAAGGAAAATTTCAAAAACACAGGTAAAAAGCATACCAATAAAAGAATTAAATTTAAAATTATATAACAGTAACAAAGAACTTCAAATATTCATATAATTACAAATATAATATGTTATGTCTAATGTTTAGAAATAACAATATTCTAAAAATTTGCAATATCCTTTAATATACAAACACTACTTAAATAGCACTCCTCTGTAAATAATATAAGATCAAGTTATAATAGCCCATCAGTTCCACAAAAGCTCGCGCAACAACCCTACCTCAAAGCTATGTAACGTGCTGGATACTAGGCAATAGGTTGTGCATCACTAGTGTGTCAAAACCACGCATAGGTATCTACTGCTTCCAGCTTACGTGACAAACAAGATGTTCAAGTTATGTTACAGCATTCGTGCATCTGGCACAGGCTTAGCTTTCTTAAAAAGCCTCTCCACTCTGCTCCACCCGTTTTCCTCTTGGCTGTCCGATCACGCTCCATTTTTCAAGCATGTAGAACTACAGGGTGCGGAAGAGGTGGCGGAAGTGGATGCGGGGAGAGAGGGAGGAGGCGGCAGGGCACAACTTGGCTGAATGTGTGTGTCTCCTGCAGTGCTGATAGACAGAGCAGCATCAGAAAAGAGAGGAGGGGTGTTGTCTGTGCCCCAACAGTTGCTGCTAATACAGCCCAAAACTGTGAGCCTGACCAAAAACCACGACGGATTGTTTATTATGACAAAACTCCAAGCCCGAACAAAACCAAGCCTAATATAGTTCACCACGACCATCAGGACAAGCGGCAGCCACGCTCTACGGCGCGCCAGGAACCACCGGAAAACACTGTCCCGGTTGCTCCCGAACTGGCCAGTCCGACCACTGGACGTGCCCACACCACTAGCAGCCAGCTAAACAGAAACCACAAAGGTAACACAGGTATCACACAGAAACCTTTATGATCATCCATGAGTGTGCTTCTAGTGACTATAAAAGTTCCAGCAGACTCTGTGTTTCCAGTGCGGACACGGAGAGTCTGACAGCAGCTGCTCATCGCTGGTTAGCTCTGACTTCCAGGACGCTGTTTTTGCTACACTGCTGTGGTCAGTCTGTCTCTCACTCAAGGCCATGCCCCCTAAAGTCATTGTCCAGGTCTCTGATGTTTTTTTTAATGGTTTGTTGTCTTACTGTGTTTCTCTCACCCAGGGAGAGAGCTGCCTCCGATCTGCAGTGATGTTCGCCAAAAGCAGCGGCTCTCCATTGACACTCTGCCCCCCGAGGTCAAAGCTCCGTTCCCCTCTGACCCTATCATCCCCCTGCGTACCAAGACCACCAAGGAGTTTCAGTGAGTTTCCAGTCCTTGACCCGGGGACCCAAAACATTAAAACAAACCCACTATGACGCTCAAAACACATTAAAACTAATAGTTATTTTGGAGCCAGGTCTGGTTTGTCTGTTTAAGCATTGTGTGTGTTACCAGGGAGGACATGGAGCGTGCCGTCCAATCAGGTGACTGGAGGGAGGTCCGGGAGTTTTACCTGACCACCTTCGACTCCTTCATAGAAATCAACGCTGCCTTCAAGGTATAGCGCATATACACACACATACAAACACAGAGTCTAGCTCTCAGCTGAATGCCTGTTGTGAGAAAACTGTTTTAGATGCTGTTAAAATTTCCCCAGACGCCATAACCGTTTTACGATGGGAACGCTTTTTTTTCTGGTGTTTTCCTCCTTTTTTCTCATGCTCTCTCACTCTCTTTCTTTCTCATTTTCTTCCCTTCTTCCTTTCCCAGCGAGAGGCGAATGGATCGTTTAACACCATAGACGACTCGGGAGTCAACGCCAAGTTTGTCAATGCTGTTTATGATGCACTGCTCAGCACAGTAAGCACATGACTGCAAAACCACACCTAGAAACACAAAGACAAGCATTTGAATAAGGAAAATGTGCTTATATCTCACTAACAAACTGCTGCTAGATCTATTGAAATGTCTTCATGCCTGATATTACACTACAACCCACTGGACATTGCAATGGGTATTTTATCATGACATCAAGTCTGTAAAAGAGTTCATGACTTTTAATATAAGTTTGAATACATTCTATAATCTTGCTAACTTGATGAGCTGTCAGTCAATGCTCATGACATCTAAAAACCCACTGTGACAAAACATTTTCCCTGGATTCATTAGTTCAGTAAGCGAATGAAACACTTCAGACCATCTTTATACACACTTGTGTTTTTCAGTGAAGGTTAGATAAATATGGTGGCCAGTGTTTCCATTTCTCTGTGGGTCTCTGACATTCAGGAATGTTGACTCAACCTTCTGATTCCTTCTATTTTAAATGCTGATTATGTTTTGGTGCGTGTGTGTTAAGCCTCAGGACATCCAGAAGTCAGTGTTGAAAGGGATCATCAACAGCCTGCTGAGGGAGTGGAAAGGGTGAGAACACGTCTGAAGAATCCACCTTTTAAACCGCATTTTTGTGATCCATTTGCAAAATTCAATATTCTGCTTTTGCTTCAACCTAATTTCCAATCAATGCTATCTCAAATCATATTATTTTGTCATTTGAATTGTAACAAAATGGATATGATTGCCAAGCACGTAGATACAATAGAACAGTCTGAGAACTGCACTACTTAGCTTAAAGGAATAGCATTTTTGCAATTTCACTTGCTCTGTAGATAGAGTAAAGCACAAAGACGGAGCTAGCCTAGCTTGGTTTTGTCGTTTGCGTGACAGGTTTTCGTTTGTGTGTGTTCTGTTTTCAGACCTCGGACAAAAGATGACCTGCGGGCATATTTCATTCTTGTTCAGGTGAGATCAAAAATTTGGAGACACAGTAGGGACAGTCCGAAGTTTCCTGTCAAAAAAAAAAAGCGCAAGCACAAAATAGGCCTGGTAGGCGAAGAATGCTATGATACAGAGCAGAGTGAAGCCTCCTCTGCTGAGACCATGGCAAGACACCATGGAATATTTACCGGGCTTGTAGCATTTATTCTCTATATGTTTAAAGATTATATATATGAAATTCACTGTTACTAGATATCACACTAAAGCACCGCAACTCCAGACAAAAAACAATTTGACGCTAAGGGCCACCAGACTTTTTTGACAAAACAGGTATTTTACTTTGCAGACAGAAACAAAATAAAATTCACCAAAACCGTGTTTTTTAGTCTTTGAATAATGAATGCATTGAGTTAGATGTGAAAATATTTATAATAATAACTTTA